GTTGAAACCTGTCCTTTCCCCTTCTATCAATCTCCCCTGTCCGAGGGCCTGAACTGCATTACTCAGGCCCTATTCCAGGTTGACTGACACCTTGAACAAGAGCACTCCTAGGGAGTGGGGAGACACAATTTAATAAGAAAACGAACAAATAAGAGCTGAGGGAGAATGCATCTGCTCTTGCTTGAAACAAATGGAATGCAGCCTGGACACTTATCTGAAAGAAACCAGACTGAAAGTCAAGAGGAGAAGAAATTTACCTGAACTAGCCTCCTTAGTTAGGCTCCTGTGCCCTGGACTTGTAGTTAACATCTGTGACTGCTTAATGCGGTGGTGCTTATTGTGTGTGTCCCCCATTCAATATCCTTCTTGGGTACACAGGAGAGATTGTCTAATTGATGTCTGGAAAAAGGGCAGTCCTGAAATTAAATATGGAACCAGACATGGTAGTAGCAGTTGGTGCCTCAAAAACACCCCCACAGTTCTTGCTCGCTATGTTCTGGTAAGACTCTACCAGTTAAATTTACAAGGCAATCCTAAAACTTAGCTGGCCAGCTACAGTATGATCTTGTATATTGCTACTCCAATCAATTATTAGTTCTTCATTTCTCCCAGATCTACTGAAGATTTTAAAGTCCATTTGCAATCATGGAAGGTGTTTCTTTTGCTTTTGTTTTTAATTAAGTGGATGTTCTGCTGTACATTGTTAAGAGACTCCTGCAAATAAGTAATTCCGACTATGACACCGCCACCAACAAAACTGTCTCCTTTCAAACACATTTGAGAACCCAAATAAAACAGATTGATGTGCACCTCATCAAACTTGTGCACATTGCAAATGAAATTCATGCACACTGATCATCAGATTGCAAAACAAACCAGAGGAAGGGGAAATGAACTGAACATAAACATCTAACACAAAGTGAGCACTCTGCAAAATAGCATATTAAAAGCAGAACAAATTCCAAAGTATAAGTAACACACTCAGAATTTATATGAAGTGAACACCATCCAGATTGCAAACAGAATAAACGACCATATACGCTAACAACAAACTCATTCTCCAATTGCCCATCCTTATGATTCCAAAACTGGCAGGTTCAGAGGAGCTTCAAGGTCTGCAGATGTACAAAAACCATTAAGTGGGGAAAACACAAGGGGGGAAGAAAAATAAGCCCTACCTGGACCAGGAAAACAGAATGGAGTGTCCAGAAAAATGGCATGGCTGATGGGATGCAATCCTGAACAGGAACACTCTACACTGCAGCATTATATTACGGGTTCAACTTAACAGTCTGAACAAGTTGCTGAAAGAAGCATGAAGGTAACACCGGAATACAGTAACAAATCCAGGAGAATCAATCAGGAACAAATCTGGACAGGTAAGGCAAAAGGAATGACATGCAAGATTTAGCCTGGGAAATATCATCTTTTTCTTGTTCCCAGGCTGGGAGTTGGGGGAGACCAGTGCAAAGGCATTGGGCTGTAATCATCTAATCTATACTCAGAGTAGACTCATTGAAATTAATGCGTGTAAGTTTATCGTGTCCATTAATTTCAATGGGTCTACTCTGAATAAATGTTAGTTTAAAACATTATAATCTAATAACCACCTTTTCCCTAGCTGTTCCCAAGTTTTTAATTTTTTTGGCAGGGGGAACCCCCTACAGAGGCATCATTATTACCACCACTTTTCCCTCCTGCCTGACCCACAGCAGAGATTGTTCCCAAGTTGCACGGGGATAGGAGAGCACAGTGCAAATGTAGAAACATTGGGTGGGATTTAACTAATGACTCCTGTCAGCAGATGCTCTGCACAAGGATATGTGGAACTGGGATTTCCCCCCTTTCCTCCCTGACGCATGCCTCTTGCACCCTCCAAAACTGGGTCAGAGGTATGTGTCAGGAGATCCCTTTGAATAGCATGTGGGGAGAGGAGAGGGGGATCGTTTCACTATCAATAGGCATTAATAGTATTAGGTCACATCTGCCATCCTATATTAAAAGCTCCTATTCATTATACATAAGGATGCAAATATGATATGAATATATAAAACTGCAAAAAGCTACAAATAAAAAGAGCTCCTATTCATCTTGCTTGTTTCCCATACTCTGTGCATTAGCATAGAGATAACTGAAACCACAAATCATTCCCTCCAGCTGATTTCTTGTAGTTTCCCGCCCTTTAGCAGGTTTCTGGAGCATTACCTCAGTTTTCTGTGCATCAATGAAGCTATTATCCCCAGTATGGGGTGTTTCCCTGTCATCTGTAACATTGTCTCCCCCCCCCCCATAGGATTTAATTTCAAACTCTCTTCATCAGGTTTGCGAGACTCTTAGCAAACACATTCTTGCCAATCACTGTGAGGTGCAGTCTATCTCTTGCCAGAATGCCTTCCTTAAGGAAGCAGAGACCATGGTCTAAGAAGTCAAACTCTTCCTGACACCACCTGCGCAGCCAGTGGTTTAATTCCTCTCTCTTCCTGGACCCTGACCTTCAACAGGAAGGAGTGTTGAAAAAGCCACCTTTGTGTCCCAAGGCCCTTCAGCTTCCTGCACAGAGTCTCATAGGCCCTTGTCATATGTCGAAGGCTGTGTCTGGCAATATCGTTTGTACCTACATGAATCAGAAGGAAGGGGTTGTGGTCAATGGGCTTTATAAAACATGGCAACTTTTCTTTCACATCATAACTCTTTGCACCTGGAAGACAGCACACCTCCCGGGACATCCTGTTACCTCTGCACACTGCTGCCTCTGTCCCCCATTATTACTTCAAATTCCTTTTGACTGGACCAGCAACCTTCAGGTTAAATGAATAGAAAGATCCACATGGCAAATTACAGCTGTATTGATACAGCAAAGTGGGGCAGGGGCCTGATTAGGAAAGCTGTGGGATACTTTATAATACACATGGAGTCAAGAGGCTCCAGAAGTGAATCAGAGAGGTGAAAATCAATGGGACTTTAATCAGCACTGGATTGCAGAGGATTTATTTGCTTGAAGACAGCAGATGTAGGCAAGCTCCCTGCTGAGATTAATTAGTGGGGAGGGGACAAAAGTACCACCATTATTTTAGCAAGTGCTGTGAGTAGAAACGGGAACATCAGCAGGTCTTTAAGTACGACCTCATAGATGTCTCTGGTGGTGTACAATATTCCTGTCCTCTCTCTGTGAAATCACATTCCTAGCATTCCCTCTGAGCAGTGGTATCAGACACTCATGCTTCTTCGCTTAAAAGCGCTTTTTCTTTTGAATGAATATATGCAATAAGCATATGAGGAACATTTCTTCTTAAAGAAAGCTTTAAATTAAGCAGTAAAGGAATGCAACCCCATAGCAGAATATTTAAGCATTTAAAAATGCTAACAGTTATTAGTGCTTCCAACCTGTTCAGCCTGTCTATTCCCCAGGTTTGTTTTTTCTTGGCCCGTGAACTTCTCTGCACAGAAATTATTTCACTTACTGTGATCTGAAGGTCCATTAGACCAGTGTTTCCCAACCTTTTTTGGGCAAAGGCACACTTGTTTCATGAAAAAAATATCGAGGCACACCACCATGCCAGATGGGGAAAGGTCACTTTTTACTTATGTAAAAAAAAATAAAAAAAATAGTAACAGCATAGAAGGTAATGGTTATCTCTTTGATGTCTGATGGGAGGGCATTCCACAGGGCGGGCGCCACTACCGAGAAGGCCCTCTGCCTGGTTCCCTGTAACCTCACTTTTCACAGTGAGGGAATTGCCAGAAGGCCCTTGGCACTGGATCTCAGTGTCTGGGCTGAACGATGGTGGCGGAGACGCTACTTCAGGTATACTGGACCGAAACTGCTTAGGGCTTTAAAGGTCAGCACCAACACTTTGAATTGTGCTCGGAAAGGTACTGGGAGCCAATGTAGGTCTTTCAAGACTGTCGTTACGTGGTCTCGGCGGCAGGTAGCAGCGCTCACAGCTTACGGACTGCACCGTGTAACAGGTGTCTGGCCCAGCAGCCTAAGGCGGACAAGCCACTGAAACAGGCATTCAGAATCCATTCATTTCATAAAACCTGCAGGGCTCAATCTCTGTATTTGTGTATGTGTGTGTTTCTGTTTTGCCCAAGGGTCTGGGGGTGGGAGAGAGCTCTTTAGCATGATGCTTTTAAAACAATTAAATTATCAACAAACAAACCTGATGATACGAATAGCAACGTCAGGTGCTACCGGGGGGGGGGGGGGAGAAGGGGGCCTACTCGGAAGTAAATACTGCGTCCAGGCGCAATTAGCGCTGATTTAAGGTGCACCAAGACTGCCTAAAAACCTCACCAAAGATATGCAACAAAGCGCTTCGTTGCAGAGGGGAGAGTTTGTGCACCGTGGAGGCTGGAGGGCTTCTATTCTACATGCGGGGGTTGGGGGGGCGAGGAAAATGTGCTCCGTGGGGGGGCGGGGAAGGCAAGAAAAGGAGCTGAGCTCTAACTATAGGCTCCCATGCTTGAGCACGCCCGACTCGGTGGGGCGGACCACCCTCTCTCCTGGAGGAGGAGGAGGAAGAGGAGGAGGAGATTCCCATCCACGGCGTGGCCTCCCGCGCTCCTGAACGGGAAATCTCTGCAGCCCAAGACTCTCCGTGAGGCAGCTCCTCCCTTCCTGCCTTGAGCCGCCGCCAGCCGCGCCCCCCTCCCCAGTTATCTGCTGCCTGCCAAGCCCCGCCCCTCTTCATTGTCCTCCCCTTCTGTTTATTCCCCTTCCTCCATCCCTCGCTTTTTTCCCTCTCTTTCCTTTTTTTTAAAAAAATATTTTCTCTTCCCCTTCTTTTTTCCACCCTTTCTTTTTTCTCTTTCTCCCCCCCCTCCCCGCCCTCCTGGGTTAAAGGATTTGAGCAATGGGTCTGGAGGTGGAGCTCGTCGGAGGATTAGCCCGACTCGCCCGCCTCCCTCCCACGGCACACTAGGCAACGTCCGGCGGCACACTAGTGTGCCGCGGAACACCGGTTGGGAAACACTGCATTAGACCACCACCTTGCTGAATCTAAGCAGGTCTGGGTCTGGCCAAAGCCTGGATAGGTAACCACCTGGGAATCACATGTGAGCTGTCTTGGATTCCATGGTGGAAGAAAGGAGTGATATAAAGGTAATAAAAGAACTATAAAAAAGAAATAAATACACATGCCACCTTCTATCCAAAGTTTCAAGGGCGTTTGCAAAAAAACAAAGCAACAATAAAAAGCAACCACAAAACCTGCAGCTAAAAGGTGTGTAAAAGCATAGTAGGTCTAAAATCATTAAGACAGAAAAATGCTTTGAAATGCCTGGGTAACTAAAAAGTTTTTTGCCTGGCTTTTAAAGGATGGCAAAGATGGCACAAGGCATATCTGCTAGGAAGGATAGTCCATTGTTGAGGTGCTAGTTCTTGCCCCCCCCTTTTTAACAAAACCCTAATCTCTGTTGGAGGTGACATTTAGAAGTAAGCAACACCAGCACTTTGAATAAGGCCCACAAATGAATACACAACCAGTGGAGTTCTTTTTAAACTGGCAAGATACCATCCATGCAAGCAGTGCCAGTCAAAACTGGTTGTTGCATCCAGCACTAGTGAGCCTTCCAAACCATTCTCGGAGGCAGCTCTACAAATAACACACCGCACTACTCCAGTTGGGATGTTGGCAGATGCTGCAGCTGATGCACCAGTGAAAGGCATCTCATGGTAAAGAGGTTGCCTGGGCCTCCAAAGACAAAGCTGGACCAAGGAGCACCTGCAAGCTGACCCTTCAAGGGGAGGACAACTCCATCCAGAACTATTTGCCTACCATCTGTGTGAACCTGAGAACTATCAACCCAAAGGACCCCTATCTTGTCAGGGTTAAGATTCAGTTTTACCGACCTAAAACCAGCCCCTTATCAAATCCAGGAAGCAGCTGAGCACTTCCACAGCCTCTCCTGACTCAGATGCCAAGGAGAAACAGAGCTGGGTGTCAAGAGCGCACTGGTGGTACTACACTCCCAAATCCCCAGGTGGCCTCGAGGAATCCCTTCTGGCATCTTGTGCAATCACATAGCACAAGCACCAGGTGGCCAAATAGAAGTCCCCCGTGCAACCCTCTGCAAATCAATCCGCAGGTAGTAGAAGTACCACAATACCATGCCACCAACTCCCAGAGCCGTCAGAAGGATGCTGTGGTTGATCGTGATTTCCAGAGGAACAGCCAGGTTTGTCACTTGGATCAACGAAGAACCATGTGTCATCCACCGATGGTAGACTCAAAAGCCAGCATGAGGTAAAGGGAGAATCAACAGGTTGCCGCCCTCCTGACATCTCTCATCACATACGTTATCCAATCAGTCAAAGTGCAACTGTAGGGACTGAACACTTTTAAATGGCTGTATGATCAAGTGTACTTCATGCACTCAATTTAAGCACTGGAATCTTATGCACCCTTACCTGTGAGTAGGTCCCACTGAATGCCAAGGATCAGCTTGCAAGTGTTGATCGACTTAGCTTTAAACATGAAAAAAAGAACCAGTAAAATAAATACCTCTTACCTCCTCTCGCTGTAGTCAACTCTCCTGTAACCTTGTCAGAACACTGAAGTCGGCAGCTCTCCTTACTTTACCCATCTCCATGCACTACATGAAGCGCAATAACTCAAATACTCTTTATTGGGAAAATTTGAAACTGATTCCATATAAATTACATTGCCCCCCTCCCCACAAGAAAATCCATCCTGCACCCCCCTCCAGCTCCAGTTGATTGAAGATGAAATGTCAATGAAAAAAAGGATGTCATATTTTTAAAGTAAGTCATAAAAATAATCCAGTCCTTGGCCAAGTTCCCAGATGGCAATTCCTGTGCCCAGTTCCTTTGCAAGCTCTAACCGCAGTTGGATGGACTGCAAAACACAAGAGACACATGAAGGATAATTAATTTTGCTGAATATAGACATTATGAACTGATCAGCTGGGGGGGGGGCGTTGCACAGAAACAAAAACTAAGCAGCATAAATACTTTTCATTTTATTTCATAAGAAGCCATTAAACTAAACAGCATTTGCTTTGAATTTTTGTCATTAAGTAATCTGACAATTTATTCCTAGCAAACAGAAGAATGTAATGTGCAACCCATTTATTCAGCTGATGTACACATCCTGCCTTGGAGTAACTGTATATAAAATAAACTCGCGCTTTGGATGCATTCCAACTCCATTAAAATCAGATTGAGCCTTTGGCCATGTTCCTTTTTGTTTCCAAAACAGAAGGGTGCATACCTTTAAAGTTGGATAGAAGACTGCATGCTTGCCTCCTTTACTTCTACAAAGCACAAAAAGAGAAAACAGTTATGAAAATTGATATTATCATGAGACATATATCTTGTGTATTTTATCCCACCCTGAAATTGTTTCTTTCCAGGGAACAGAGAAGGGAGAGACAAAGAATTATGGGTTGTTTGTACAATAAAATAAAGAAGTTCATACTAAGAAAGAGTGACAGAGACAGAGACTGTACTTTAAGGAGCCTGCAGGCTGAAAAAAACTCAGAACTAGCAAAGCTGTCCAGAAGCAGCTTCTAGTATAATCAATGGCTGATTGAAGGGCAAAGGGTTTTGAAGGTGAGCATAAGTTGTTTAAACTTCTATGATTTCATTTCTTGGCTTTTGCATTTAGTTTAGAATCTAGACTTCTCAGTGACTGCAGATGAGATGCTTCACAAGTGGGTATACTTTTCTGCCGTGTGGGTAGCCAAAATCCATCTAAATTGAGGGGGTGGGAAGGTGGAAGAGGAAAGTGATTTGGTCAAACCATTTTACAGTCTGGTTTTTAAGTATGCCACAAGAGACATTGGGCAGGATTTACCTAACGAACCCCGTCAGCGGAAGCCCTAAACAAGGGTTTCCCTTGCGCTGTAAGGGTTTTCCCCATCTCTTCCCCACCGTGTTCTTCTGGACCCCTAAAATTGGCTCAGGGAATGGGGTCAGGAGAAACCCCAAAACAGCATATGGGTGGAAGGGGATCTTTCTGTCTGGCAAGCTGATATACTTGTGGAGACAGAGCATCTGGAATAACCCAATATTTAATGTCACCCTTTGAAAGCTACTTTTTGAGAATAGTTTGGTGTCTAATTTCCACTAGAAATTTACAACAAAATAAAGGGTAACCTGATTCACGTGCATAATTTTAACTGGATTGCTATTAAAATCAAGGATAGTTTCACAATAACTCCTCACTGAATCCTCTTATTTTCCTTAAAGGAGTGGCACTTGTCTATTGTAAAGGTGGGAAAAATCCTGCTATTGATCTAATTGCACTGAGTATTGCTGAACTGATTATTATGCTTTTTTTTTACTTTTTAAATAAAACAAACAACAACAACAACAACAACAACAACAACAGTTTTTCATTCCTCTACTTTGAGTAAAGTAAAATCTGGAGGCAGTTGCTCCCATGAATTTTGTATAAAAATAAACAAATGAATATTAGAAGGGGGGGACATTTTATGATTGCAACTCACTTTTTGTATTCAAAATAGTGTTCAGCTATTTGTTCATCCCAAACCAGCTTAGGTTTATGCTCCTTCAAGATTTCTATATACCTAAAAAAGGGGAAAAAAAGAACAGAATTCCTGAATTCTCTCTAGAATCTATATATAGCAACAGTAACATAATATTTTAAAATGACCATCTTCCAGCCACACATTTATATGATCTATGGGCTACTTTTAAAATGAGGCTGCATTTTAAATTACATTTTAACCTGTATTTTAAATTGGTTTTTCTTTTCCTATTACAGTGGTATCTCGGGATGCGAACGGGCTCCTTTTTGAGAATGCGTGGGTCACATTTTGCTGCTTCTGTGCAGGCGCGTGATGTCATTTTGAGCGTCTGCACATGCGCAAGTGGCAAAACCCAGAAGTAACGCGCTCCATTACTTCCGGGTTGCCACGGAGCGCAACCCGAAAGCACTCAATCTGAAGCACATTCAACCTGAGGTATGACTGTATCTTTTGCTGTAATTTTACTGGTGTTAGCCGCCCTGAGCCCGGCTCTGGCTGGGGAGGGCGGGGTATAAATAATTTATTATTATTATTATTATTATTATTATTATTATTATTATATAGCTGGAGCTGTCGTGTATGGCATCAACCATACCATGTAGCTCTACATTCTCGACCAGCAAAAAAAGAGTTTGCTACACATTAGAAAAAACCTTCTTATTGCGAAGAGGTGCACCATAGCATGATCATACATTTGCTATTTTCTTTTACAGTTCATTATGGTAGCATTGGAAATGATCTTTTTTTAAAAAAAATTCTCTCTTTCCTTTTTTGTGGGGGGAAACAAGCCAATGTCAATATCCCCTTCTGTAAATTGAGAAATCTTGTGGTATTTATATTTCCACCTGCTTCCATTTTCAGTTCAGTACCAGGCAATGTACACTATTTATCTATCATCTTTTACAAATAAGGATCTCACAAACAAGTTTTGTCCATTTCTGGTAAAGCCCTAATAGTGGATGCCTTCCTCCTTTTCAATTCCATTTTGCAAGTACCCCAACGCTATTGTTCTTCCAAGTGGGTGACCTTCATCCCCTGCCCTCTACTACATTCAAAAATAGAACGAGGCAAATGCTCTTTGAAGATGAGCAGAACTTTGTCATGTCAAAATTAATCAACACCAACTTTCATCTTTCGCTTTGCTTGAAGTCTTTCACACAAGAGTTCTTTTCAGTATGGCAGCCCTTGGTAGGGAAGTCTGAATTTTCTATTACTGTTTGCAGAATCTCTGGTTCAAAGAGCACCACCTTGGTCAATAATGAACATGGATTTTAAAAGACCTATAAGGACTGTGTGTTTAGTGACCCCTGTAACAGCTGGAAATTACAAGGAAGAACATCAAGGCTGCATTCAGATAACTTGTGTTAAGAGAGGGGTTATGACTTCCATGCTCATTGTGGTAAGCATAAGGAACTGCATCCTTGATGCAGAGAATCTCCCTGCTGTTGTACTGCAATTCGGAGGTGCCTGGAAGCACAACTCAGTGGTATGAACAGTCTTCCCAACACACACACACACACACACACACACACACACACACACACTCCAGCTTGAAATTAAATAGGAAGGCTGGGTTTGTCTTGGTCCCGTGCTTCCAAGGCACATGGAAAGAACTGCAATGCAAAAGGACAGAGATCAGCTGCTTCCTTTGCAATGGATTCCAAAGCCCTCCCAAAGACTCTGAAATGCAGTGGAACTGCTGGACAATCCCCACCCATCCCTTTGCAGCTGCAAAGGTGGAGAGCTTGTTTTTGTGGGCATTTAAAGCACAGCAAGTACACTGCCCTACTGTCTTCCATAAGGTGGATGTGGGGATCATCTCTAACCTCATGTTAAGATTCAGACACACAGCCTGAGGCCAAGTGCAATATGCTGCTCCTTATGAGACGGGCAGATAGCTGTTGACCCCAAGTTTCTGGGTGGCTATTAAGGCCAGAAAACCTTGGTGGGCTTCTCTTTGTGTTACACAAAAAGCCATTCTATCTCTTCTATTTTCCCCCTAAGTTGTGTTAAGCTACCATCTGCCCAATCAGTGTAAGGTTTTAGTATGACAGATATTTCTTTGCTCATCATTTTGTTCAGAGCAATCAACCTTAGCTGTATATTTTACTAGAAAGCTTCCATTTCAGATGCTACAGACATTAAACTGATTTCCATCAAATAATAATCAGCTTTGCTCATCCTGAAATTTCAATCAAGACACTCTCTCTCTCTCTCTCTCTCTCTCTCTCTCTCTCTCTCTCTGTGTGTGTGTGTGTGTGTGTGTGTGTGTTCAGAAAAGGAGAAGTGCAGTCTCTTCTAAACTGGAGAAACTTAATTTCTATACATTTAAATCCTGTACAGAACTACAGCCTTTACAGGTGGTTAAAGGTAAATCTTATGTTGCTACACAAGGTTAGAGAGATCCAACAGCACCTTACTGGAAAAAAATCACAGAAGTGCATACTGCCTTTCCTTTGGGCCTAGAAGATGATTATACCAACACCTAAAATGGGTCTGAAAGTGTGCACTTCCAGGGCTTTCCACTTTTCATTGTCACCACCAGTGCCAAATCAGCGTTGCTAGACAGCAACAGCAAGGCCACCGATCTACTGACAGAGCCCAAAGAAGCATCACAAGTAGTCTTGGTCTGTTGCTGAGCTGGTGAGAGCACTGAGAAGATTTATTTTGATAAAGTGGCTGTGACCTTGAAAAAATTCATACAGGTGGTTATTGCAAAGGAGATACAGTGACAGGCAGATACAGGATAAAATGGGGAAGGAAGAAGAAGAAGAGTTTGTATTTGATATCCCGCTTTATCACTACCCTAAGGAGCCTCAAAGCAGCTAACAATCACCTTTCTCCTCCTCCCCCACAACAAACACTCTGTGAGGTGAGTGGGGCTGAGAGACTTCAAAGAAGTGTGACTAGCTCAAGGTCACACAGCAGCTGCATGTGGAGGAGTGGAGATGCGAACCCGGTTCCCCAGATTACAAATCTACCACTCTTAACCACTACACCACACTGGCTCTCTAGTAAAGTAAAGACCACAAAGGGGCTGATCTTCTTCTGTACTTGCTCCTAGCCTGAGTGGCATGGCTTCAGATCTCCAAGCTCCAGCAGTCCACATGCACATGTGTTTGTGCTACACCATGCCAAGTCATTGTCAGTTCTTCTTACATGCCTCTCAGTGCACAAGCAAAACCACTGTTTATAACAGGGCTCCAATTACATATGGGATTAGCAACAATTGAGCAATTTTATTTAAAACTGTGGCATCAAAGCCCTGAGCATAAATAAAAATATTAAGGTAGCCAGGCCCTTAAAGCAACACTCATTCTGATGCATTTAACCATGAGAGAAAAGGTTCAAAAGGGGGGGGGGCTTCTATGATTTCTGAAGGGTGGTGTACGTAGAAGATGTACTTTGGCTGGGATGTGAAAAATACTGTGGTTCTTCAGCATTTGAGACAGGAATGATCTATAATGGTGCAAGAAAAATTGTCTATTGCACATGACCTCAAATCTCTACTTCGAATTGGAAGAAAAATCTTCCAATACTTTTTTCTTTACAAAAAAGAAAAAAGAAAAAAAGATTACAGCTGGTAGAATGTGCAGGGGCATATTTTAAACTGCACTTTGGGATGTGTTCTTTTAATCTACCAACTTCCAAATCGCTCCACCATCTATTTTAAGGAATAGTTCCACTCATGGAAGTGATGTAACAGTGCTAACTCAGTGATATCAGATTGCCAGTTGTACATTTTCAACTGCCAAGGCTTTCCTCAAAGATTGAACAGATTGTAGTTCACAATGTATGCTGAGAATTCCCTAGGTTCATTTGTACCTACCGTGGGAGTCCTTAGGCCAAAAAACTGTATATATTTACTTATTTCTCGAACAGAAGTAGTTTGCTGCAGAAGTTACTTCAATAGTAAAACACCTGCACTGTACATGCTACCCTCAGTGGGTATTAAACCTATTCCTTCCACTTCACTTGCATTACCTATTAAATGTAAGCACTTTATTGCTGATGCTATATGCCATATTTTCCCGTCTATAAGACGCCCCCATGTATAATACCCCCTCTATTTTTGGGGACTCCATTTTAAGAAAATGAGGGGAGATGGCCCAAAGTTGTTGAGCTTCTCCCCCCACGCAGCTGCAGGCTATGCCACTGTGCATGGGCATAGCCTGCACATGGGAAACACTCCCTAGATCTTTTCCCACGCACAGCGGCATCAGGGGAAGTTGCGCTCCTGCCCGCCAGCCGGTTGGCAGGAGTGTTTCCTGTGCGCAGTGGCATCAGGGGAAGTTGCGCTCCCACCCGCCGGTTGGTGGGAGCGCAACGTCCCACGATGCCACTGCGCATGGGAAACGATCTAGGGAGTGTTTCCCATGCACAGTGGCATAGAAGGAATGTGCCCTTCTGCCAACTGGCTGGCTGGCTGGCAGCACGCAGCTTCTCTTCCCCATGCCACTATCTGTGTACTGGACGACCCCATTTTTTGAGTCAAAAAATCTTGACTAATGCATGGAAAAATAAGGTACACATTAGCCGCTTAAAATGCAATGAAGCCATTCCCTGTCCCTATCCCCCTCTGCATTTCAATTCACATTTGCACCTTGCTATACACATATACTATGCTCTGGTCCATGGGGTCACGAAGAGTCGGACACGACTAAATGACTAAACAACAACAACATACACAGAGAGGGGTCAGGGGTGTCTTCGCCTGTGCTACCTGTTCGGTTTCCCCAAGCCTGCAACCCCTCTGGAGCTCCTATTTATGAAGCTGTCATCTGCACAGGTGTGCTCTTCCATGCATGTGCATTGGTGCTCTCAAATGTACACACCTGGCTTAACTGCGAAGTGAATGTGGCTAAGGTTTCCCAGCTGGACTGAAGCTGGTTTGAGGAAAAAGACATCAAACAACTGTATTTCTCAAGGAACTGCAGAATCAATATGGATTGTTGCTAATGTCATATGCATGAAGCTTCAAAAACTAGCAATGGGAGACAACTGGATGCAGACTAATTGGTAAAATAAACACAACCTAAATTACTGCTCAGTTTCTGCTGTCAGAGAGGTGTGAACACACCCTTTGTTAGAGATCACCATCCCCTCTGCATTGTGCAGGGCGGGTGTGCTAATAAACGTCACAGTGGGTGGCATTTAAGCTACTGGGTAAACACAATTTGAGAATAACTGTGCCATGTACCTGTGAGCTCACTGAATAATTCAGGAGTCCTATTAAAAAACAACAACAGACGGTTCAAAAGTGTTCTCACCAGCACTGTGTACTTAAGACATACTTTATTTGAGCAGTTAAGCAGCATTAACATTTTAATGAAAGCAGTGACCATATGTAAACCTTGACATTTCTAAATAAAGTTTAATGGGACCCGGAGCAGCACTCACACAGTGTAAGTACACAACCCTATATTTCTTAGAGCATTCTCTTCTCAACAGCTCCCACTCCCCCCCCCCCATTGCAAGCTGCTTTTCAAGCTCTCATAAAATAAAAGCACTGAGTCTTGTACACATATGCTGTTTCACTTTTCAAAGTTTCTAAGTTTCACTTAGAAAAGCTTTGAATTAAGGAAATTCTATATAAAACAACAACAATAACCCCAGAGAACCTATTGCAGATTCCATGCACCACTGTAGATTGTAGTCACAATCTCTCCATCGCCCACCATACGGGTAGGGAACTAACAGAGAAAGTTAAATGGTGCTCTAAAACACTCATACAACTGATCCAGTAACTTGAATTACTCTGCGAAATTTAACACTTAAGCTTCTACATTAACAGTGCACAGATGTTTAAGATTAAGAGAAATGTAAATATGTTATGACACATCAAATTTACTTTTAAACTGATATTCTTTTTCCAGGCAAGTGATACCATGAATTCATAATTACATATGCACATTTAATGCATCCTTCTGCTGTTACATTGGTTAACCTGGTCCGTGCTATTTTCAGTTATTTCTTCCACAGCTAAAAGGTAAACAAAATTTCCCCTTTTGTTTCTATTACTAGTGGCAAGTGTTAATTAAGTTTTCCCTTGCCCATACTGCACTTCCCTGTTATTTTCAAAGCATCAGGGCATTGGGCTCTACAGACTATATCCCAATTTTCCCCCTTGAGCATTTGTTCAGTAAGCCATATATTGTTCTTTTCAGTTTATCCATTCTTAACACTTGGCAGGTCACTCTTTACAGTGGGACTGTTTTTGACAGGTTAGCCCACCTTGACAGAATGGTAAGACTGTAGCTTTTAAAAGAAAAAGAGAAAAAAGCAGTCTGGACATGGTGCAATCCGTAGAAAATACCATTCTTGTCTAGTGACCGACAGGTTAATGGTAAAGTAATTTACTTTGCCAAGGCCAACCTAGATCCAAGCAATGCCATAAACCCCCCCAAAAAACTGGCATCTAAGAAATGAGATGCAGAGTATTGTTCTCTGTAAAGAAAGAGGGAATAAGCTTGTTTACTTAAAATGAATTGACTTTGATTGTTGATCCTACTCTCTGCTGGTCTAAGAACAAATGATATCAACTTCTGGTGAAATGCTTCAATTAGACTGTACACTGAAGTTTATTTCCAGAGTTCACCTCAATTTGGAAGAGGGTACCCCTGCATAAATACGCGTTTTCATAGATTTTAGAAGGTCTCTATTAGAATAAATAGGTTAAACTACCTTGCTTGGAAAAATAGCAATTTGTAGCCTGAGAGTTCCAATGATCAACAGGCAGCCATGGTGCATAATTACACCCAGTCATCCTGCAAAATGATGACTGATGATGGAATTTTAAATTGCTTAGCCATCGAACATGTGGCACTTATCCTAAATTCTCCCAAGGAGGAGAGTGTTGAGAGGCCTGCCTGGAATCGCTTGCTGGGAAAACGTGTAAAGCATTAATTATTGCTGCGTCAGCCAACTAATTAAGAAGGCAGTTGTTGAACAAGACATTTATTAAGAAAAGTACCCTTTAAAAAATTGCTTGTTAAGACATGTTGATAAGAATTATTGATTTGGGAGCTCGTATAAAAGATGCCAGTCATAAAAGTATTAAAATTTCATCAGTTTGTTACAGTTTTCAGCAGCTTCAATACTAGACAGTTAAGGCAGCAGACGATTTGTGTTGGAATAAACAGAATTCTTCAAAACCAATTGGTTCATGTGCTCTAAATGGTATTTCAAATTCATGCTTCTTTGGTGAAACTGTAATTCAATGAAGAGGTTGTGGTTGCAAATCTTGGAAGTAAATGGTCAAATTATTGGGATTAATCTTAATTTGGATTTTTTTTTTTTTTTAACAGACTTTGACTGCCAGTAAAACGCAGCTATGCATTTGCTGGTTGTCACCAAGATTCTGTTAGCTACTTATTTGAAAACCGCAATACCACCATATATTAAGGAAGGGCTTTCATAACGTAGTGCGGAGATATATCAAATGCTTTTAGTGCAGCTGATCATGTGGCTGAAGAGGAAAGACATTTGAAAAGAAAAGCAGCCTACCTAGTCCAACAGGCAAGTGTGCTATTTCTTTTCTTTTTAAAAAAGTGTATATGCATGTATCTTCCACACCTGTATTGCTATCAAGGATTGTAGCCTGAGCCATTAACAAGCAGCTTACTTATAGACATTTGCACATTAAGGATATACTGTACTTTTCTGTCTATAAGACACCCCCGTGTATAATTTTTGGGGAGTCAAATTTAAGAAAATGGGGGGAGATGGCACAGAGGAGTTGAGCTTTTGGGGAGGGGGGATTAGCCAGGGTTGCTGAGCTTTTTTAAAGGGAAATTGTCCACACACATCACAAAATCCACCTCCCATCTGTCACATCGCCGGCAGAAGCTGCCAAATGCCTGCCCAACTGCCAGAGCGTCACTCAATCGACACCACCCATTGACACATCATGAATAATGCACATGAATATATTAGTTTATAGAGAGATTTCTTGGAAAAACAGATAAGCCCCCCCCCAAAGAAGTTCTTCAAGAAAGCTTCCCATATTGAGGTGAAATTCTCCATCTTGGAACTAAAAGAGATGGGGGGAGGTGCATCCTGAGGCCATGCATTCCTCAAGGATCTTGAAGGTTCAGTTCTCTGAGCCTTATTCCCTCCATCTCTTTACACCCCCTCTCTCCCAGGGTCTAAGGAATCAAGAGGAAGGCTGTGTCACGGCACTCCAGATTAAACTCTGCAGGGAAGGGAGATCCGGCCAAAGCAGTGTTGCTCCCCAGTGTGCTTTCCCTCCCTGTTTATGTTTTGCTACCGCCAGGTTAAATGTCTTTATTCCTCCAGGCTGCCTTTCACCAAACGGTCTAAGACTCCCTTGTGTCTCTTGGGGCATGGGGCGGCTTAAATTAAATTAAAGGCTTTGGGGTTTTGTGAAGTAATATTAAAAGTTCACTGGGAAGATAATGATGTTTGTTCTTAGGAAATAAAGTGTAAATGTATGGTTGCATGCACACAAAGCAATTTCCCAAGAGGAGCAAAGTAAAATGGGTTAAGTGCATCGAGCTTTTCCCTCACATAGGCAGTCCTTAAGTTAAAGACTTACATAGATCTCCTTTCTTCATTCTCCGCTGCAACAGGGTTGTCCCCTTTTCTGAGATCCTCCTGATCTGAATGTCAAGGAAGACCCTGGCTAAATTACAGCATGGAGTTGCCTTTGATTTGCCCCTCAATCCACATACATTTCAAAAGCTTCACAGAAAACAATTGCCTATGATATATCTTATCTTCCCTTGATTAATTTGTGACACCTTCCAAGTTATTTTTCTGGAGCCTTCAAGTCATGAATCAAGCCACAAATTAAGCGCCCCGTCTCTTTACAAAATACTTAAAAGATTTTTATTTTTATTTTTTTATAACAGCCCATTTTCTTCACAGGCTGCTACTGCCAATGCTTTTTGGTAGTATGAGAGCCATGTGCAGTGGCCATCTGAAAGGCTAGTCCTTGGCCCTGTGTGTGTGTGTGTGTGTGTGTGTGTGTGTGTGTGTGTATTCTTCTAAAATATATTTTTCAGCCAATCTAGGAGGTATTTCTGGTCTGTAATCCTGTCCTGTTTGCAGCTTCACTAACCTGTGCATCCCCAAACCAGCAACCCACTTACAGGGAATAAGACTGCTATTTTGCATAAAATGCAGCTACCTGTATGAAGATAAAGATGCAGAGACTCAGAAATGTCCACTGAGGCTTAACAAAGTTAAGCACCTTTGAATCCTATAGATGTCAATGGGAGGTTTGGACATGCTTAACTCTCTTCCAACTGAAAACACTGAGACTTCAAAGTCTAACTTTGGCCAGATAATACGCATTACACTCACTATGTAATAACTCCTTTCAATCAGAAACCAGTTGCAACGTAGATATGCCATTCACACTGGCAATACTCTATCAGCAGGCAATTTCTCCCGCTTGTGCATCAATACAAGAACAGCATGGTGGATACACGGAAAATGCTTTTGATTGCATGGTTCTGTGGGAAATTGCAGGCACTGTAATAGATCAAGAAAAGTCCAGTTGTTAAATCCATGTATGTGTAGGGGTCAAACTAAATATGCAACACAGGAGATCTGTGACCAGATCTCTTGACATTTTTACTGGGAAAGCAAGGCAAAGTACTGTGATTTCAACAGAGTTTGCAGCACCTGCTTAATTTAAATGTCAAACAGTATTACAACCTATCAGTTAATAAGGGTAGCATGCATCAATTAAAGCATATCCCCTGAGAAACAAACTATTTAATAGTGGTCTAAGTTTTCATAGGCCAGAGCCTACCAGAAGAAGTGTAAGACACAGACTGAACACATGGCAGATATACAAGATGGCGTATACAGTAGAAGATAAACCATGAAGTGCTTATTCATGATAACAGAAATGTACTTTCAAATTGCGTGTGAATATAATATACACAGCCAGGTGATTTGCTGGGGCAGTAGACACCAAGAGAACAGAAAGACTGAATAGGGATTCAGGGTAGAACCTGTTATAACCTGAAATAGCTTAATAGAAGAAAACAGAATTCTAATTCTTGATTTCTATTCTGTTATTGATTTCTTCCAAAGATAGACACCAGGCCTAAGCTTGCCCTTTGTCTGATGCCAAAGAGGTGGATCTGGCAAGTGCAAATTTCTTGGGAGAAAACAAATCTGGAATTTAGCAGCCATTTTGTGACTGATGCTCATGGCACACTCTCAAAATTTGAAATGTACCCACTGGCCTGAGAAGGTTGGCCCACCCTGCTCTACTTGATTGGGGGAAAAAATGGAGAGAGAGAAAAGTTGAAAGCAATGTTATTGTTCTCTTGAAATAATTGGGTGGACCCAAATGTGCTTGTGTGAACAGAAGGCACTTTTGCTAATGGATGGCAGCCCTTTCTGCTACTTTACCCCTCCCATTATAGGTCTGCATCATGCCACAGACCATAGAATCATCGAGTTGGAAGGGTTCCTGAGGATCATCTAGTTGTTGCATGTCTCCTCCTTTTACCTTCCCACATTTCCTTGCCCAATCCAACCAAGGAAATCTGCACACAGAAGCAATTGTTGCATGCACATCACTCACTGAATCAGGAAACACAGATCTAAGTCACATGGACCACAGAGTGTATGTATTAACCTGAATGGGTGGCATCAGTTTGCACTACCCTTCTTTCAATGGAATGCACCCTTGGATGTGCATCCCAATGTGGATGTCTGCATGGATGCACCCGCAATTGCACATCACACTAAAAGCAACATAGCATGACCTAACCTCAAAGTTTAAAATATCTTAGGGCAGGGGAGTTGGTAGCATGAGAGCAGTGCAATTGGAAGTGGGGAGGAGAGACAGGATTTTCCTACATGCCACAAAAGTCCCTTCTAGGCCTAGGGACACCAGAAGGTTTGCAGGTAGGATACCCCATTTAGAAATGAGAAGGAAAATAAATAAATAAATAAATAAATAAATAAATAGGGGAGGCTTATGTGTGCTCTATTTTAAAAAATGAAATTTTAGCTCCATCACTAGTAGAATAGCAGCTCCCTCTAGTGCATGAGTGCTGAAAGAAATTTTTGAGAAACCAACCAAACAACTGAAATTTGTAGCTTCAGCTGAGTGTCTGTATCAGGCAAATATGTAAGGTTCAAAAAAACCTACACTTTTTATAGTACAACTCCAGTAAACAGAGCCCAGTCCAACTCTCACAAACTATGAAAATTCAGTGGAACTAAACCCTCCACTGACAGGTCATGGAGGTTCAACTACTGGTGGCAGACCAGGTAGGGAACCTGTGTCCCCAACCCAATGAGCCCCATCCAGCACAGCCAATGTTCAGGGTTGATGTTCAGCCCAACCATCTGAACGGCTACAGTTTTCTCACCTCCACTCTAAGAAAATATTAGTACTGGACACTAGCACACTGTTGAGTGTAATGGGTTTGTGACACAGATGCTAGCCTTGACTAAATGACCTGTTACGAAAGTAGGCTATGTATGTCACTGATCAATTCACATTATGCTTATTGAGCACATGCATTGATAAATGCTCTGCTTTCTGTATAGCTTTTAGGAAAATCCTAGAGTACCCCACACTCATCTACTTAACTGCATTATTCCCTAGGATTGGAAGCATTCCCATGGGTCTATCATCATGGACTTCAAAGTAAACCTATGTTGAACAAGTAAGCAGAGCTTACTGGATATCCAAGATGTCCACCCCAATCCGAATGTGGAATGTTCTCCCCAAGAAGCATGCCTGGCAACAACATTTTAAGCTCTTAGGTGCCAGGCAAAAAAATTCTCATTTTCCTGGGCTTTGGGAACTTAATGTGGAGTGATTTATGGCCTGTTCTGTGTTCTTTTTTTATATATTGGGGTGTGTGCGGGATATTTTCCTTGTTATTGCTGGCATTGGATGAAAACATTTAGCATTTCTGTGTTTTATGGGCAGTATTCGACTAGTGAGTCCCATTAGCGCAAACATTTCTGCTTGTGTGATGGGCCTTCTCTCCTCAAATTCTGCTGCCCAAGCAGAAATCCTTGTATTTACAAAACATTCATGAAGTTCTATGTTGGATGCAGCACTATACTTTTTATCTATTTTATGTGTTTTTGGTTTTTAAACATTTGTGTTGGCTGTTCTGTATTTTATATATTTGTATAAGACGTCTTTGTAAAAAGTAGTACATAAATTTATAAAATAAAACAACGCAAAATAATAATGCATCCCCACCTGGAAATAAGCCCCATTGGATTTACTTCATCGAATTGTAGAGTTGGAGGGGCTGCCAAAGGTCATCTAGTCCAACCCCCTGCAATGCAGGAATCCTAGGTGGGCTCGAACCACCAACCTTCTGGTTAACAGCCAGATGTACTGACAACACATAGGATTTAGCTGCACATTATTCTGAGAACTTGAGCTCAATCTGCCAGTTTGCAGTTTTTAAAAATATTCCCAAACTACAGTATGCTCAAACAGTTAATGATAATCCCTCTTGCATTGCTGGATATACAATAAATTTAATGGTAAATGATATAAGTTCAAGAAAAGGAAGCAATCTTAGATAGCAACAACTATCTGCCAAGTCATATATGCCCTTTTCATATATATATTTCTTTTTTTCCAAAAGCTTTGGGGAATCTTCATTCATGAATACAGAGCGCTTTCCAGCAAAGCATAACTGCATATTTTTAATTGGAAAAAGAATCCCACTGAACTAGAAAGGGAAGATGGAAGAAAATATTCAGCACTACATATAAGGCATTATGTTCCTGTGAGCAAAAAAAAAAAAAAAAAAGTTTCTGCAACAGGGCTATTCTTTAAGAAGTCTTCCTACCCAAAATGCCTAATTACCCCCAGCTTTTCATACTACAGAGATCAGCCTTGCTAAGTAGAGAACTTGAAAATATTAACCAAAACAGAAGCACTGAATACTCTCGCTGCTGCTGCTGCTGTTTTCCCTGTTAAGGCAAAGGTAGACAAAATGGTGCCTTCCATATACTGTTCTGCTCCAACTCCCATCAGCCCCAGCCAGCATGTCCAAAGTTCAGGGAAGATGGGAATATCTGGAGGGCACCACATTGGCTGCCCCATACTACAGGGCGGGGAACCTGCATCCTTCCAGATGTTTTTGAGCTCCCACTTCTATGTGCACCAGCTAGCACAGACAATGATCAGGGGTGCTGGGAGTTGCAAAACAACATTACAGGCTCCCCATCCCCGCCCTGCTGTAACCAAAATCGATAAAGCCCAGCTCAATGACTGACATCACCCTGAGGAGCAGTGCTAGATGCCATCCGTGTTACACAGCTCTGCCTGGCCTCAACTGGAAGGCATATATTTAGTGTCACCAGCCCCATGATATGCAATGTTCTACCAGCAGGGACCCGCACTTTTATCTTCTGGGTGCCTCATGAAGACCTTTTTATGCCAATAGGCCTTGGCTGCTGTTTAATTTTAATAGCCAGCCACCTTAATGATTTTTTTTTTTTTGGTGGGGGGTATTGTGTTTTATATCTTAACATTGTACACTGCCCTAATATTGCATGTTCGGGTGGTTTAGATCAAAGAACACTTTTATAAAAACAATTAAAAAAAATGATCTTCATAGCATTACAATAGAGAGGTGTGAACAGATCTGACAAATGAGACACCCTGTGGCCAAAAAACTAATGTATGAACAATAGGGGGTTGACCGCCTTATTTATACTCCAGGTTTCTCCATTTATCTTTCCAAAACAAAAACCAAATAGATACGTAGTAGCACAATAATACCAATATCAAAAGAAGATAATAGATATGTAGCACAAGAATATCAATTACAGTTTTGAGTTTACAAACAGCTGTGAAATCAGTCAACACAGTCCTTTGAGGAGCCCAAGAAGTACCGTATTTTTCGCTCTATAACACGCACCTGACCATAACACGCACATTGTTTTTAGAGGAGGAAAACAAGGGAAAAAACATTCTGAATGAAACAGTGGATGTATCATTTTTGTGCTTCATGCTGTGGCCACAGACATGTGATCTGATGGTGAATTTGGGGTGACCCAATGCAAAAATCCTGAGAATTCCTGTGGATCCATGCTTTGTAACCACGTTTTTGCACCATTGTGGCCCCAGGCAACAGTGGGTGCGTGATTTTTTGGGTGCAGGCTGTAGCCATGGACATGCTATGTGATCTGATGGTGAATTTGGGGTGACCCAATGCAAAGATCCTGAGGATCCATGTGGATCCATGCTTTTTAACCACGTTTTTGCACCATTGCAGCCCCAGGCAACAGTGGGTGCGTGATTTTTTTGGTGCAGGCTGTAGCCATGGACATGCTATGTGATCTGATGGTGAATTTGGGGTGACCCAATGCAAAGATCCTGAGGATCCATGTGGATCCATGCTTTTTAACCACGTTTTTGCACCATTGCAGCCCCAGGCAACAGTGGGTGCGTGATTTTTTTGGTGCAGGCTGTAGCCATGGACATGCTATGTGATCTGATGGTGAATTTGGGGTGACCCAAT